GAAGGCAAAAGGACCAACAAGTGCTCAGCATCTCTGGAAACTCCTTCAAGACTGATGGAAACCATTTCAGGTGACGACCTCATGAAGCTCATGGAGAGAACGCCATTGAATGAGAAGGTGTGTCCACATTTTTGACTTGTAGTGCAAATCTACTGGTGATGGATACACCAACAGGGTTGTCTTTTATCTGTTATTGTTCTCCCCATATAGGTTCAGAAAGGTTTGGTGTTTGAAGGCAAATTCATGATAATAAAAACTGTAAAAAACCAATAAAAACTGGAGAATTTGTCCTTGGTTACTTCCTGCCTCTGCTTTCATCCTCTCTCTCTCTGAAGACCTGCAGCATTCAGCTCTGTGCAAGGTGAGCCTCTTCATTAGTTTATGGTGGTGTTTTCAATTTGTTATATTGTACATCCTGTTGAGGGAGTTCATGTTCTGCTGCTGTTTGTGGATTTTATCTACTCTGCAGTGCTATGGTGCAATGGTACCTGTACAGGTCTGTGAGAGTTCTCCAGATCAACGTAACGTGAAAGCCCTCGTATCCATATTTATGCAAACATGTAGAACATTTAAACGACACATGCATCATCATTCGTAGCATTAGTCTTACGCTTTGTATCTGAGAAATGACTCGAAGCACTTTGTGGAACCTGCCTTATCCTCCCATTCATATAAACATTTTTCTACACCTGCTTTCTATCCAACATTAACACTGATGGACACATTGGAGAACAACATGGAGGTCATATTGTAATCTTTGCCTGTATAAAAGTCACTGCACACCACTGAGACTCACACATTTCAAGCACATCCTGTGTAGCTGTTAGTTACAGGCTCAACTTCACTGGCTCTTTGCCTCTTACACAAAATCAAGCTGTAAGGTTACAACGCTAGTAAACAACAACCCCATTTTTATTCCACTTCTGTACTTCTCACAGAAGATGAATTTACTTCTTTTTAACTCACTATTCTTCCTTAAACAGTGAACTATTATTTTAAAATAGCAGCAGCTTTATTTTTGTCACAGTAATAGCTGACTGGATCTCTTCAATATGAGAACGTGTTTGTTTAAAGCACTGTAATACAAGTCACAGGAGCCCTGCTGTCAGCGCTGGTACAGATTTAGATTGTTCCAATTATAGCCATGGGAAATGTTCAGATACTGGCTAATTCAAGGAAAAGAAGTGAAACACATCAGGCTGCTGAACTGAACCAGATCAGATCCTTTTGCACAGCCGTGTCTCTACAGAAACAGAAGCATGAATATGATGCACAGACAGACGTGGTAAGAAGTGCATACATGTCGAACCCGTTCATACACCAGCGCCTGTATCAGAAGAAATGGTTAGGTCCTTTTCTTCAACCAGCTTACCTTCACAGTGATCTACCTGCAGCTGACTCTGTCCTCTTCCTTCTGTGTGTTGGCTGATGGTTGCAGTTCCTTAGAAAGCCCTCCTCATATCCACAGGTGACCCTTTTCCCTCTCTGTCTAACTCCACTTCGTTCACGCACGTCCGATCCTTTTCTTTTTTTCTCAGCAGCTCCCAGCTGTGCACAAAATGGAGGAGACCTCGAGATAATCCCCCACTTGCATCTGATTAGAAATGCCAGGATGCAATCTTCAAATCTCGTGTTCTGTAATGGCGAGTCAGCCTGCTTTGTAGCTGCCTTATCCGGCTATAGAAGGAGATGGGTGGAGGGGGAGGGGGAGTGATGGGAGGAGATAGTCAGGCAGCTGGCGTGTTTGCCC